TCAGGATGATGGACCCACAGGAGAGGTTTGTTCCACGTTGGGCTGCGCTCCAGCCCATCACCACCCCAAAACAAGACACAGCTGAGCTTGGAGCTGCGTCCCCTTAAATTCGGGTTAAATTGTGAGGTTTTTTCCATTTTTATTGAAAATTTTATACAATTTACCTCCAAAAACCCCCGATTTTTGGCGTTATTTCCCGCCCTGTACGCCCGCATCCCATCGACGAGAGCGGCGCCACCAAGGTCGTTCCCCTTCCCGAAACGCCACGCGCTCCCAAAAATTCCCCCGCCGCGTCCCCACCCCTCGGGGGATTTTGGGTTTTCTCCTCCCGCCCGCGGCCGTTTCAGGTAGAAAATAGATTTTTATTTTGCTTTTTGCAATTTATCATTGGAATTTTACTGCTTTCTGAAGAGGAAACTAGAGGTAAATCCCCCCCTCCACCCCCACTCCGCGGCTCCTGGCTCCTCCCGGCCGGACTTTGTGACCGAGCAACTCCTGACTCAGCGATTTCTCCCCGAAAACGAAACCCGGCGCCGTTTCACGCCCGTTTTCGCCCTCCCCGCGCCCCCCATGGCCGACGGCCACTGCTGCTTCGTTAGGCCAAGCCTAACGAGGAGCCGAGGCCGTGAGCGTCCGCGCATCCCCGGAGCAGGTGTGAAGATTTTGGCGGCCAAATCGGGTCTGGGAATTAATGCTCAGGATAGGATGGGCGGCGATTTTACCTCTAATTTCCGTCGTTTTGGCATGGAAACTCCACCCCCCGCGGCGCTCAGACGTCCAACGTAGCCAAAATTTGCTTTTTCTCCCCAAATTTGCTTGTGGAAACGCTTTTCCGCTAAAGGAAAGCGGCTTTTTCACAAAGTAGAAGTGAGCGAAAAACCTGAATTTGACCAAATTCATCCAAAATTTGACGCCGCCGTCGCCCGACCCGGCGACATCCCACGGTTCGTTAACAAATCGCCCGAGGATTAACGAAGGAAACGGCGTGGGACGTTGCACATTTGACCTTGGAGGTCTGCACAGCACTTAGGGGTTCATTTTTTTGCCAACAATTGGGAAAATTGGGCACGGAGAGGGCATGGAGAGACGTGGTCGTGCCCAAGGGTGACACAGAATTAAGCATTTGAGACCCAAACCCTTCAAACCTTAACTCAAATCTTCACAAAGACCCAAATGACCCCTTTTGGGGGCCCAATCTGGGGAGAAACGGCGAGGGTTGGGGAAAAATTTGGCCGAAGAGCGGCCCCGAGCCCCGTCCGAACTCCCCGGGGGAGTAACCGCGTGCCTCACAAATTAGAGCGATGAGTAATTAGGTGAAGTAATTAAGGGTTCGAGGGCGGCCCGGCAGCATAGTTCGCATTGCTGCTACGCCCTTGAGGAGCGACGCGCGCGACGGCGACGTTCCCGCTGTGCGGATCAACTCTGAGATCACCCCCAAAATCCTCGCCTTTAAGCCCAAACGCCCACTTCTCCGTCACGGCCTTCGGGGGACGCCATCGGGCGCCGCAGGGGACTTTGTGGTGGGGAAACACGGGGGTTTTTGGGGGTGAAACGGAGGTGAGGAGGGGTTTTGGGCAGCAGCGTGGGTTGGCGGTGGGCGGGTGATTCATGGGAACTGGAAGAACCAGGTCCAGGGATCGGCGCGGAGGAGGTGGGGAAGGGTTTGGCTGATGGGGCCTTCAAAGACCCATGGACAGGGCCATCTCCCTTTGGATTGGGTTGCCCCAAACCCCATCCATGGACTTGGAGAAGGGTTTGGGTGATGGAACCTTCAAAGACCCATGGACAGGGCCATCTCCCAGTGGATTTGGTTGCTCCAAGACCCATCCATGAAGTCATGGAAGCGTTTAGGTTGATGAGACCTTCAGAGACCCATGGGTTGGGTCATCTCCCATTGGACTGAGTTGCTCCAAGCCCTGTCCATGGAGCTGGGGAAGAGTTTGGGTGATGGGACCTTCAAAGACCCATGGGTTGGGTCATAAGACCCATGGGTTGGATCATCTCCCATTGGATTGGGTTACTCCAAGACCCCTCTGTGGAGTTGGAGAAGGGTTTGGGATGAAGGGACCCTCAAAGACCCATGGGCAGGGGCATCTCCCATTGGATTTGGTTGCCCCAAACCCCATCCATGGAATTGGAGAAGGGTTTGGGTTGATGGGACCTTCAAAGACCCATGGACAGGGCCATCTCCCTTTGGATTGGGTTGCCCCAAACCCCATCCATGGACTTGGAGAAGGGTTTGGGTGATGGAACCTTCAAAGACCCATGGACAGGGCCATCTCCCAGTGGATTTGGTTGCTCCAAGACCCATCCATGAAGTCATGGAAGCGTTTAGGTTGATGAGACCTTCAGAGACCCATGGGTTGGATCATCTCCCATTGGATTGGGTTGCTCCAAGGCCCATCCATGGAGTTGGAGAAGGGCTTGGGTTGGATGAGACCTTCAAAGACCCATGGGTTGGATCATCTCCCATTGGATTGGGTTACTCCAAGAACCCTCTGTGGAGTTGGGGGAGGGATGGGACCTTCAAAGACCCATGGACAGGGCCATCTCCCATTGGACTGGGTTGCTCCAAGACCCATCCATGAAGTCATGGAAGGGTTTAGGTTGATGAGACCTTCGAAGACCCATGGGTTGGGTCATCTCCCATTGGACTGAGTTGCTCCAAGCCCTGTCCATGGAGCTGGGGAAGAGTTTGGGTGATGGGACCTTCAAAGACCCATGGGTTGGGTCATCTCCCAGTGGATTGGGTTGCTCCAAAGCCCGTCCATGAAGTCATGGAAGGGTTTTCATTGGATGAGACCTTCAAAGATCCATGGGCAGGGGCATCTCCCATTGGATTGGGTTGCTCCAAACCCCATCCATGAAGTCATGGAAGGGTTTGGGATAAAGGGAACTTCATAGATCCATGAGTTGGGTCAGCTCCCTTTAGATTGGGTTGCTCCAAGGCCCATCCATGGAGTCATGGAAAGATTTTGGTTGGAAGAGGCCTTCAAAGACCACCCAATCCGACCCCATGCCATGGGCAGGGCCATCTCCCATGGGATTGGGTTGCTCCAAACCCCGTCCATGGACTTGGAGAAGGGTTTGGGTGATGGGACCTCCAAAGACCCATGGGTTGGGTCATATCCCATAGGATTGGGTTGCTCCAAGGCCCATCCATGGAGTCATGGAAGAGTTTATGTTGAGGGGACCATCAGAGACCCATGGGTTGGGACACCTCCCATTGAATTGGGTTGCTCCAAACCCCATCCATGAAGTCATGGAAGGGTTTGCGATAAAGGAACCTTCAAAGACCCGTGAGTTGGATCATCTCCCATTGGATTGGGTTGCTCCAAGCCCCATCCATGGAGTTGGAGAAGGGCTTGGGTTGGATGAGACCTTCAAAGACCCATGGGTTGGATCATCTCCCATTGGATTGGGTTACTCCAAGACCCCTCTGTGGCGTTGGAGAAGGGTTTGGGATGAAGGGACCCTCAAAGACCCATGGGCAGGGACATCTCCCACTGGATTGGGTTGCTCCAAGCCCCATCCAACCCAACCTTGAGCACTTCCCATGATGGGGCATCCACAATGTCTCTGGACAACCTCCTCCAGTCCCACCACCCTCATGTTTCAAGAGCAGGGATTAGGACCATTCTTCCTTGTCACGTTGTGGTTTGCGCCCAAGGGTTGGGTTGTGGTTGGCGCCCAACAGCAGTCGGTTGAGGTTGACGCCCAAGGGTTGAGTTGTGTTTTGGGCCCAATGGTGAGGTTGTGGTTGGCGCCCAAGGGTTGAGTTGTCGTTTATGCCCAACAGTTTGGTTGTGGTTTGCGCCTCACAGTCGCGTTGTGGTTTGCTTTCAATCATTTCATTGCGGTTGGCGCCCAATAATGGTCACATTGTGACTGGTGCTCAACAATCACGTTGTGGTTGGCACCCTACAGTCGCGTTGTGGTTTGCACCCTATGGGCTGGGTTGTGGGTTTTGCCTGACAGTCGCGTTGTGGCCTGTGCCCCATGGATTGAGTTGTGGCTCGTGCCCAACAAGAGACACATTGTGATTTGCACCCAACAGTTGGGATGTGGTTTGTGCCCAATGGTTTGGTTGCGGTTAGCACCCGGTAACAGTCGCGTTGTGGTTTCCGCCTGACAATCACGTCGTGGTTTGCGCCCTATGGGTTGGGTTGTGGTTTGTGCCTTGTGGGTTGGGTTGCGGTTTGCACCCTATGGGTTGGGTTGTGGGTTTTGCCTGGCAGTCACGTTGTGGTTGGCGCCCGACAGTCGCATTGTAGTTTTCCGCTTGTGACTGCGCCCACCGCGGCTGCCGCATCTTCGCCATTTCCGGTATCCAACACTGAGCGCAAAGTCCTGCCGAGTTGGGCCTGTTTGGGGTTCCCGAGCCAAAACGCTGATGGTTTTCCTTTCTCTCTCTCCCAGGGGGAAGTGTTGGCCACCCAGCGACGGGGACCGGCGAGAACTGAGGCGCTGCTGGTACCTACAGGATGGGAACGACGGATTTCATCGCCCCGGCGCCCTGCCTGCCTTGAGCACCCCCAGTCCCCCCCCAGCTCCTCACGTCCTACCGGCACCACTAATCCTCTCGGAAGCGGTTGAGTGGGACAGGATGTGCGGACGATGATGATGGCAAGAAAGCAAGATGTTCGCATCCCCACCTATAACATTAGCGTGGTGGGATTATCCGGGACGGAGAAGGAGAAGGGGCAGTGCGGCATCGGGAAATCCTGCCTCTGCAACCGCTTCGTGCGGCCCAGCGCTGATGAGTTTCACTTGGACCACACTTCGGTCCTCAGCACCAGTGACTTTGGGGGGAGAGTGGTCAACAACGACCATTTCCTCTACTGGGGGGAAGTCGTGCGCTCCCTGGAGGACTGCGTGGAGTGTAAGACGCAAGTGGTGGAGCAGACGGAGTTCATCGACGACCAGACCTTTCAGCCGCACCGCAGCACGGCCCTGCAGCCCTACATCAAGAGGGCTGCGGCGACCAAGCTGGCGTCGGCCGAAAAGCTCATGTACTTTTGCACTGATCAGCTGGGGCTGGAGCAGGACTTTGAGCAGAAACAGATGCCGGACGGGAAGCTGCTGGTGGACGGTTTTCTCCTCTGCGTTGACGTGAGCAGGGGTATGAACAGGAACTTTGACGACCAGCTGAAATTCGTCTCGAATCTGTACAACCAGCTGGCGAAAACGAAAAAGCCCATCGTGGTGGTGCTGACCAAGTGCGACGAGGGCGTGGAGCGGTACATTAGGGACGCGCATACGTTTGCCTTAAGCAAAAAGAACCTGCAGGTGGTGGAGACGTCGGCGCGCTCCAACGTCAACATCGACCTGGCCTTCAGCACCTTGGTGCAGCTGATCGACAAAAGCCGGGGGAAGACCAAAATCATCCCCTACTTCGAAGCCCTGAAGCAGCAGAGCCAACAGATCGCCGCCGCGAAGGACAAGTACGAGTGGCTCCCCCGCCGCATCGTCAAGACCCACAATGAGACGTGGTCCAACGTCAGCCGCAAGATGCTGGCCTCGCCCGAGTACCAGGATTACGTCTACCTGGAGGGCACGCAGAAAGCCAAGAAGCTGTTCCTGCAGCACGTCCACCGCCTGAAGCAGGAGCACATCGAGCGGCGGCGGAAGATGTACCTCGCCGTGCTCCCTCAGGCCTTCGAGGCCCTGATCCCGGACCTGGACGAGATCGATCATTTGAGCTGCGTGAAAGCGGAGAAGCTCTTGGAGACGAAGCCGGATTTTCTGAAGTGGTTCATCGTCCTGGAGGAGACGCCTTGGGACGCCACCAGCCACATTGACAACATGGAAAACGAACGGATCCCCTTCGACCTCATGGAGACCCAGCCCGCCGAGCAGCTCTACGAAGCCCACTTGGAGAAGCTGAGGAACGAGAGGAAACGGGCAGAGATGAGGAGAGCTTTCAAAGAAAACCTGGAGACGTCCCCCTTCATCACGCCCGGGAAGCCCTGGGAGGAAGCGCGGAGTTTTATTATGAACGAGGGCTTTTACATGTGGCTGGAGGAGTCCGTTTACATGGACATCTACAGCAAGCACCAGAAGCAGATCATCGAGAAGGCCAAGGAGGAGTTTCAGGAGCTGCTCCTGGAGTACTCGGAGCTGTTCTACGAGCTGGAGCTGGACGCCAAGCCCAGCAAGGAGAAAATGGGCGTCATCCAGGACGTTTTGGGCGAGGAGCAGAGGTTCAAAGCTCTGCAGAAGCTGCAGGCCGAGCGGGATGCTCTGATTTTGAAGCACATCCACTTCGTCTACCACCCGACGAAGGAGACGTGTCCCAGCTGCCCGGCCTGCGTCGACTCCAAAATCGAGCAGCTGATCAGCTCCCGCTTCATCCGCCCCTCGGAGCGCAACCAGAAGAACCCACTGTCGGACGCCAACATCGACCGCCTCAACCTGGTGATCCTCGGCAAGGACGGGCTGGCGCGGGAGCTGGCCAACGAGATCCGGGCGCTGTGCACCAACGACGACAAGTACGTCATCGAGGGGAAGATGTACGAGCTGTCCCTGCGGCCCATCGAGGGCAACGTCCGGCTCCCCGTCAACTCCTTCCAGACGCCCACCTTCCAGCCCCACGGCTGCCTCTGCCTCTACAACTCCAAGGAGTCGCTGTCTTACGTGGTGGAAAGCATCGAGAAGAGCAGGGAGTCCACCATCGGGCGGCGGGACAACCACCTGGTCCACCTCCCGTTGACGCTCATCCTGGTTAACAAGCGGGGGGACACCAGCGGCGAGACGTTGCACAGCTTGATCCAGCAGGGCCAGCAGATCGCCAGCAAGCTGCAGTGCGTCTTTTTGGACCCCGCCTCGGCCGGCATCGGCTACCGGCCGACGAGAAGCAGATCAGCCAGGTCCTGAAAGGGCTGCTGGACTCGAAACGCAACCTCAACCTGGTCAGCTCCACCTCCAGCATCAAGGACCTGGCGGACGTCGACCTTCGCATCGTGATGTGTTTGATGTGCGGGGACCCCTTCAACGCGGACGACATCCTCCTGCCCATCCTGCAGTCCCAAACCTACCGGCCCTCGCAGTGTGGCAGCAGCAGCTCGGTCCTCCTGGAGCTGGCGGTGGGGCCTCACAAGCGGCGCGTGGAGCTCTCCCTCCTCTCCTACCACTCCTCCTTCAGCATCCGGAAAAGCCGCCTCGTCCACGGCTACATCATCTTCTACTCGGCCAAACGCAAGGCGTCCCTGGCCATGCTGCGTGCCTTCCTCTGCGAGGTGCAGGACATCATCCCCATCCAGGTGGTGGCGCTGACCGACGGCTCCGGTGACATTTTGGACAACGACTTGAGCCGGGAGCAGCTGAGCGAGGGCGAGGAGATCGCCCAGGAGATCGACGGCAAGTTCACCACCATCCCCTGCAGCCAACCGCAGCACAAGCTGGAGATCTTCCACTCCTTTTTCAAGGACGTGGTGGAGAAGAAAACCATCGTCGAAGCCACCCACATGTACGACAACGCCGCCGAAGCCTGCAG